GCGCGTTTGCCTCCCCAACGTGGCTTATAAGGTAAAATAACAGAAACCATGAGACAGAGTTGTCGCCAAATAAGCATACAAAACACGTGGTAACACTTTATGTTTATTTCTAATGCGCTTTCGTATTCATTATCCATTTATGACTCACGAAAAACTTGTGAGGTAGGAGGGTGGGTTCAGAAGTTTGGCCAAGCCCACCTAGGAAGGTTGGGGGGAGTCCCTCCAACAAACCAAGCAAATATTTGTTGAATGAACAGAAATCTTTGTTGAACACCAATTGTGTGCCAGGAACTGTGCTAGGCTTCAGAGAATGACAGAGAAGTAAACCGTAGCCCTATCCTCCAAGGTCATCTAATGGTGAGAAAATAGGGAGCAGGCACATGATCACACAAGGCAAGTCCCACAAGATGAACAGTTAAAGGATCTCAAGGGAGAAAGAAATCATATTCAAACAGGAGGCTCAGGAAAGGCTTTTTTCAGGAAAGAGGCTAAGACTAATAAAGATTTTGATAGGTAGGAATTGCACTTTCAGGCAGGGAATCACCAAAAAGAATGAAGGAAGAAGTCAGGGAATTTTGGTCTGGATTTAGGGAACAAAGAGTAGACCTTTTGTAATTTGGCCAGAGGTTGCAATACATGTAGGAAACCAGTAGGAAATGAAGTCGAAGGGTAATTTGGGATCATATGGGATAGACTGAGTACTAAGCAGGAGAGCTTATTCTTGCTTCTCTTGGCAGCAGCAGAAACTAATCAGAGCTGATTTTGGAAGATCGCAAGAATTTATAAAATGGTTTGAAGGGTAATGAATGGAGGCCAGGAGGCCAGAGGAGGTGATGTGTGGCCCAGGAGTAGGTAAAGAGAGCCCTATCGAGAGGTCCCACAGTGGGAGGAGAAAAGAGGTGAAGGCAAAACACATTAGGAAGGGAGGACTGGTGGGGCTTGGAAACTTAAAGAAAAATCAAAGAGGAGAGCCTGGTACTTAGTGATCAGGGCTTCAACTCCAAAAAAAGATGATGGAGCTACTGTTCAAAGGACAGCTCTGCTGTCTATCCCCAACTTCAGGGCTGGGAGGACTTGACCCAATTAGAGCCATGGTCCCAGCAGAGTCTATCTCTAGGAGCAAGAGGTTGGTGGCTTGAGGTTTCTTGCTTCAGCCACCCAGTAAAAGCCTGAGTTCTGTGGATGCAGAAGGGATCTTTAATGCTCATTTCTTTCCCTTTAAAGAAAAAAAAAGTCCAGTACAATCTGGGGGGAAAAATCCATTCTGTATAAAAAGACAATAGCAGAACTAGAAGGGACTGTGACCATCTTTCTGCAGCCACTGCTCTCACATCCCATTTACCTTCCCCCTTAAAATCTTGGCTATCATCTCACCTTCCTCCGCTGAGAACAGGAACTGGGAACTTCCTCTGCACTCTAAGCCAGTACAGCTAGGGCTCTAGTATTCCTAGCAAGCAGCTCCCCTCTGCACCTGCCCAAGAGTATCTTGAGAAACAAAGAGGGCAGGAGAAAAGACTGAGGCAAGGGAAATCCATCCTTTTTGATCCTTATGTTTATGGCTTTGGAGATATGGCAGTTCCTTCATTAGAAGAAGGGGTTCAGAGGAACGGAAGGGTGACGTCAGGCAGGCCTTGGTTCCCTGTGCCTGGCCCTATAGATGTTGACATTCTCATCCTCATCCCGCTGGACCAGCTCCAGTTGGAAATGCTGGGGCAGGAGGTGCTGAAAGAAGCTCTCTGTCCCGTGTTCCTCTCTCATCTTGGAAGCCAGATAGATGGTACCGTGGGGCCCGCACAGGTGTTGGAGGGTCCCCAGCAGCAGCGGGAAGGTGGACTCCAGATACACGATATCAGCCCCCAGCACCAGGTCATAGTCTCCAGGGAACATATGCTGGTCAATCCCCCAGGACAAGGTGCGGACCTGGGCCCGGCCTCCAGCCGGCACATTGGCCTGGACGTTGCCCTGGATCTGTTCTAGGGCCTGGGGCAGGTCAGTGATGGTAACATCCCCCCCTGAGAGAGAGGAAGGAGGAGAAATGCAAGTCAGAGGGACAAACCAAGGGTTTTCGGCTCCTGCCCAGAAGGTCCAGAGAACTCGGGACCTACGGGATAATGTTTTGACAGCCCAAAGTCCGCACTTTAGATTTTAGTTGCCCTAACCTCAACCTCATCCACTACCATCTCATTACTCTACATTCTACAACATCAACATTCTCTCTGAGCTAATCTTCAACCTCTCTGCCCAACACACAACAATCAGATGTCAGCAGAAGCCTGGGCAGGACTAAGCTGGAGTGGGCTGTGCACCCACCCCCTACTGACACAAGCCAGCCTTCATGGGTCTGGAAAGCTTCCCAGAAGACATGACCTCAGCAAGCCGTAAAGGACAAGGAGGAGTTAGTCAGGTGGAGCTTTCCAGGCAGAGAACAGAGAGTACAAAGTCCCGGTGGTGAGAGAGCCCGGCATATTGAAGGAAGGCTGAATCCCAGAGGATGTGGAAGGGAAGAGAGAAGTGTCAAGACGAGAGAGTAAAGAGGAAAATGACTATGACATGCTAAGGAGATTCAGGCTTGTCCCTGAGGGGGACAATAGGTTTTACAGGTAGAAGCGGAGAGTGAAAGTGGTTAGATGAGGACTTCAGAAAGCTTCATTCATGCAATAAATATATGTACTGAGCATCAACTAAGTTCTGGGGATACAGTGGTGAGCAAAACAGAACTTTAGCTTTCCTTGAGTTTTTTTTTTTAAACAGGTAAAACAGATTTTAATTATTTACTTTACTTAACCTACTATATCACAAATAGTATCATTAACATTAAATCAATATAAAAATATAGTAATGATATTAATATTATAGTAATATTAGTAATGATAATGATATTAACCCCTGATCAGATACAGGGTTTGCAAAAATGGGAGAAACATTTTGTAGATTGCCTTTTCTTTTTGTTGATGATTTTCTTTGCTTTGTAGATACTTTTTAATTTGATGTAGTCCCACTTGTCTATTTTTGCTTTTGTCACCTGTGCTCTTCGTGTCATATCTAAGAAATAATTGCTGAGACCAATGTCAAAAAGCTTTCCCTCTGTTTTTTTCTGGGAGTTTTAGGTCTCACGTATAAGTCTTTGATCCATTTTGAGTTGATTTTGTGTATGGTATAAGGGTCCAATTTCATTTGTTTGCATGTGGATCTAGTTTGCCCAACATCTTTTGTTGGAGAGACTATCTTTTCTCACTGTGTGTTCTTGGCATTTTTGTTGAAGACCAGTTACGTGTGAATTTATTTCTAGGCTCTCTAGTCTGTTCCATTGGTCTATATGTTTTTCTTAATGACAGTACCATACTATTCACTGAGTTTTGTCATAGAGGTAGAGACATACTAGATACTACAAAACTATTTAATCATAATCATGATGATTATTACAGAAATAGAAAATACTAAGAATTCATTCATTTATTAATATTCATTATGTGTGGATGCCAGGTGCTGAGAATACAGCAATGAGCCAATGAGACAAGACTCCCTCCACTCCTGGGGCTCACAGTCTAGTGGCAAGAAACAGACAACAGCAAGTCAGGCGGCAGTAGGTGCTGCGCTGAAGCATTAAGCAGGGATGGAGAACGAGAATCGCCTGAGGGACAGGGCCGGGAATGCCATTGTAAATGGGGTGGTTAAGGAAAGCCTCAGAGAGCAGGTTATGCCTGGGCAAACACCTGAAGGAAGTGACGGAGCAAACTACGTGGCTCTCTCAGGTGAAAACGTACCAAATAAGGGACTAGCAACTGTGAAGACCTTGAGGCAGTGCCTGACAGGTCTGAGGACTTGCGGTAAGGCCAGTGGCCAGAGCAGAGTAAGTGAGGGCGATGACAGTCGGAGCCAGATCCTAGCCAGGGCCTTGTCAAGGGACTCTGAGACATCCGGGACACTGTTGGAGAATTTTAAGTGGAAGAATGGCGTAAACCCTATGGCTTTGGGAATTTAAGAAAATGGCTTTAAAGAGATCACTCTGGCTCCTGTGATGGGAAAATACTGCAGAGGGGACAGGTTAGTTAGGAGGTGGCTACAATGGCCCAGGTGAGCGAAGATGGTGGTTTGAACCAGGGCAGCAGCACTGTCTAAGATGTAGTCAGATCCTGAATCTATTTTGAAAGTAGACACAATAGGACATGCTGGCAGCTTAGATATGAAATAGGAGAGAGAGAGAGAGAGAAGTTGAGGATGGATCCAAGATGTTTGGCCTGACCAACTAGAAGACCAAATTGTCATTCACTGAGATGAAAAAGGCTGCAGGAGGAGCAGATTTGGACAGGAAGTTCATGAGTTTGTTTCTGGACACACTGAGTTTGAGATGTCCATCAGAAAACCCCAGGAGGATAGCAAGTCGGCGGCAGGTTATATAAACAAGTCTGGAGAGTCATAGAGTCATCAGCATGGAAAGGGCCGTTTAAAGCCACGAGGTGATAGGATTGCTTGGGAGTGCAAGTGGACAGAGGGGAGGGATCGAAGGACTGCTCCTGGGCCCTGGTGCACTCAGACTTTCAGTTGTGAAGCAAGGAACCAACAAAGGAAAAGGGAGAACTGTCATGAGGTGAGTGAAACCCAGAGGTGTGTTGCCCTCGAAGCCAAAGGAAGCGTTTCAAGGAGGAGAGAGTGACAAATGGCACGAAGTCAAGAAAGGTGGCTCATAACTGACTCCTGTACTCAGCAACAGCATGGAGTCAGAAACGAAGCTCACAACCTTGACCGGAGTGGAGAGGGCAGTGGGGTGGAGTCTGGAATCGACTGAGGAAAGAATAGGAAGACAGAAACGACCGTATTTACTCTCCTGAGTTTTGTTGTAAAGTGGAGCAGAGAAATGGAGTGGTAACTGGAGGGATATGTAGGATCAAGGATTTTTTCTGAGATAGGAGAAATTGCAGCATATTTATGTGCATAATATAGGTGCACACAGAATGATCCAGAGAGAAGGGAAAACTGATAATGCAGGAGAGACGGGGGAGCGCGGTGTTTGCTGAAACAGTGTCTTCGAGCAGATGAGAAGGTTTGGAGTCTTCTGATAAGTGCAGGGCTTGACCTTAACTAGGAGCACAGCGCGTTCATTCGTGGTATCAGGAGAGAAGGCAGCACAGACAGACAGACAGACACAGGTGGGTGTGTAGACGTTGTGATCGGAAACTGTGGATGTTTTTCTGTGAGAAGACAGAAGTGATCAGAAGAGATAGGAAACAAAGTCATCAGCTGAGGAGACATTTGGAATTTTGAAGGGCAAAAAGGTAAGAAACAAGATGTCCAGGAGAGCAGAAGATTGTACAGATGAGGGAAGTGCAATAGGCCAGTGGGCAGCGCTTAAGGATGCATCTGAGGTTAGTGACAACAAATGTAAAGTGGACAGCAGTCAGCAGAGTTGTGTATATACTAGGAGGGCCTAAGACAACCTGGGGATGGGAGTGTCAAGGAGGCCTTTCCGTGCAAGCGATGTTTGAGCTGAGACCTGAAGAAGGCTTAGGCATTAAGCAGGTGGTACAAGGATTTCAGACATGGAGTGCAGCCCGTGTGAAGGCAGCAAGGAAGGGGACATCCACATGGGCTTGAGGACCTGACAGGAGGGCACTAGGGAGCACAGGAGTACAAGAGAGGGAGAAGCACAGAAGGAGCTGGAGGGGGCCTTGGAGAGAGTTCTATCCTGAAGGCAACAAGAAGCCACTGAAAGATGGAGCAGGGGGATTGAAAAGATCCCTCTGACTGCCAGCAGGAGTGGGCAGAGGCCTAGGCAGGGGCAAGGAGAGGAAGCAGGGAGACCAGTTTGACTGTTGTAGCTGTCCAGGCAAGTGATGGTGACAAGGACTGGGGAGCCATCAGTGTGGCTGGAGAAACAGGAGATTCAAGAGATTCTTAGGAGATAAATCAGTAGCACTTGGGTAATGGAGATGGGGGTGAGAAAAAGGGATGTGTCAAAGGTGGGTCCAGATTTCTCACTGGGGGAATGCTGGTTTATTTCACAGAAATGGGGAAACATAAGGGAAAAGGAGGCTTGGTGGAGGAAGATCACAGATCTAGTTTGAGCATGTCAAACTTCCCCACAGGGAGTGCGAAGACACTTGTGAAAATCCAGGGAAAAGATGGTAGTGGCCTGAACTGATGGAGGGGAGAGGAACAGACAACTGAGGAAGCATTGAGGACATATGACTCACAGGACTTGCTGATTGCCAGGATGTGAGGGGAGAGGGCAATGAACGAGAATGACACCCAGATTTCTCACTTGGCAGCAGAATAGGGAGCAAAAGAAGGAAGAGCCAGTCTGGGAGCAAGTGAAAGGTGTTTCTGTCCGTATTACATGACCTTTCTCCCATTTTAGCATAGCTGCCCATTTGTCATCCACCCATCCTTTACAGAAAACTGATGTTGACACTCCCTCACTTCTTTCTAAGCCTGGTGTGTTCACGCTTCTCATCTGACAGAGCTTCTCCTTGATGGAGTCCCAGGGAGTCAGGGCAGACATGGCCAGAGTATGTCCACTGGCTCTGCACATACCTCACCATAGTTCTCATACTGTAACATCCCCCCTCCCTAGTCTTCACCACTAGACCATAAGCTCCTGGGGGAGAGGAAATCTGTCTTACTCATTGTTGTATCCCAATACCTAGAATTATTCTTGGCACATACGGGACTCCAAATACGTGTTGATCGAATGAACAGAAGAATGCACGCCTGCCTCTGGGAAGACTTCCCTGAATGTGTTTGCGCTGTGTCCCTACAAACAAGGATGTGTTAATTTGCATTCCTAGGACAATGGCATCGTAAGTGTTTTTAGAGGAATACTTTCCAGATGAAGTTTTGTATTACCATTAGATTAAAAAAAATTGGGGGGTGGTATTAGGTTTACTTACTTATTCATTTATTTTTGATGGAACTATTTGGGATTGAACCCAGGACCCTAGCCATAGCTAAGCATGCACTCTACCACTTGAGCTATACCTTCCTCTCTATCTTCCCATTAGATTATGAACTAAGGAACTGCTTACTTTGTAGTTTTTGATTCTTGACAAAAGTGAATCAAAATTGTCCTTCCCTTTTCCTTTCCCAAGTCTGCAGTGCCTAACTTCTACCCCACTTCCTACAAAGCACACTGTAACGCCCAGAAATGCATAAGCTTATTCCTCCCAAGCAATCAAAACCTAAAGAATAAAAAATATATTCACAATGAAGTTATAAAGTACTCATGAGGTTTAATACCTGCAGATTGTACCCCCACATGCATCTTGACAGACAATCATATCCAAAGCAAAGGAGAGTTTAAGTGACAGCATTTTGCATGAAATCACAAAGAGCAAAAAGGTAGGGAAAAGCTCCTTCTACTAAGGTCTGCCCAGTTTGTATTTCCTGCCCCCAGATCAACCACCTTGGGTGCTCTGACAGCCAATCAGCGCTGTCTGGCACACAGGAGCAAACAGGGGCCAAAACAAAAAGTTGGTTAAAAAGAAGGGACTGGTCTGATACCAAACCACTCTCCTCTCCCAAGAATCCGGGAAGTGACAACTTCTCCACATCCCCGTTCTCCCTCCCCCTCCCACTGCAAAGCTCACGCACCCTGCAGCGCTGCCAAGATACCCACGATGCCCGTGCCCGCGCCCAGTTCGATCACTTTCTTGCCTCGGAAATCCACATTTTGTCTCTCGAAATAGTTGCACAAGCTCAGAGCCTATGGGAAAAGAAAAAAGAGAGAGAAGACAGACTGTAGCAGGGATGGCTCCATATGGGAGAGCGGGAGTCCGGGGTCTGGACCTCCCGTGGACCCTAGCCCAGAGTCTCCCACTCCTCACCGCGTCCCACACGCGCCCTGCCACCCCGAGGCAGGACCCGAAGTTCTCCGTGATACTCAGCTCGTGCCCACAGAAGCAGAACTGGCTCTTCTCCGAGTAAGAGTCGGCAAAGAGCCCGACCTCCCGCGGGAACACAGACTGGAGCTCTGATTCAGGATCTGGGCGGGGGTCTGCCATCTGGCCGAGAAAGTGCCCGAACGCCAGGGCCAGCGCTCGGATCCCGGATCGCTGCGGGGTTGGGGGGCTGGGGGACCGCGGGCCGTCTCTACTGCCCCGTGGCACCGAGCCCCGCCTCCCCGAGTTTGCCCTCCTTCCTCCAGTTTGACTTCCTGGAGGTGGAAAGAGGAACTGCCTCCCCCTCTCACGTCCCCAGAGCACACCCGAAGGGACTCACGCTGGACCACGGGGGTCAGACCGAGACGATTGCTCCGAGACCAAGAGAGGGGAGAGGAGCGAGGATTAATTCACGGTAGAAAGCGGGGTCCCTGGGCCCCTAGCACCTGCGGGGTGCACAGGGGCCTGCAACCGTAGTGGTAATCCAGACCAAGCAGAAGCTGGCTAAGGAAAGAGGCTGGCTGAGGGTCTGGCCTTGCCAGCCCAGTTAAAGCGGAGCCGCACGGAGGCGCTGGCCCCCGGTGGTCCTCCCCGCGCAGCCCAATTCCCTCCTGGGGCTTTAAGGGGCGGGCTCTGTTCACAACGTTCCTGACTGCGTCACTATCGTGCGCCCCGAGCCTCGGTCTCCACGTGGGTTCGGTGGAGGAACCCGGGCTGGGGATCATGGCGGGAGCTGAGACTGGGGACGCGGCTGGAGCCGAGGCCCCGCAGCCCCAGAAGCGCTACTATCGGCAGCGGGCTCACTCCAACCCCATGGCGGACCATACGCTGCGCTAGTGAGTGAGCCAGGCGGCGGGCCGGGAGCAGGGGGAGGGAGAGGAGGGCAGAATTCCCGCAACTGTCCCGAGCAGCCCAGAAGAGCGATTGCGCTTGGGACGGTTGGCGGATTTAGGGTAGACTCGGAAGGACCAGCTGGGTGACGTCAGTTATGTGGGTGGGTCGGGGAAATTTGGAAGAGGGCGGAGTTGGCGGGTTGGGAGGGGGCGTGGCGCTCTGGATCAAATCTGGGTAGCGGTGCAAGTCTGGGAAGAGAAAGAAATTGTTACTGACACTAGAGTGATGGAGGCAGAATGTCTTTTCCATCTTTCGACTCATTTGTGGGATTCAACAAGAAGACGAACATATACAATCCCGCCCACACCTTACTCCATCCTCTTCCCACAGAGCGCTTGAACAAAGTTAGGTCCCAGTGCTTTGGCAGCCAGTCTCTGGGACAAGGGGAACTTGTGCCCCAGAAAGGAGAGCTGCCCAGCCAGAGTCACATCAACCCCTGGAAATGGAGCTGGGCAGATCAGCAATCATGGGCCTCATGATGAGCCTATGATTCACACTGGGGGCTAAGGGTGGTTTCCATTGTACTTCCTAGAGGTCACAAGGCCCACTCTTACAGGATTTTTGAGAAACTCTCCTCTCACAGACCTCCCACCCTCACCCATCCACCCACACACATGTAGTACCACTTCTGCAATTGTTTGACCAACCTTCTCATGTTTCTCTTGTCTTCTCTCCAATAGCCCTGTGAAGCCAGAGGACATGGACTGGTCTGAGCTATACCCAGAGTTCTTCGCTCCACTGACTCAAAATCAGAGCCATGATGATCCAAAAGATAAGAAAGAAAAGAGAGCTCAGGCCCAAGTGGAGTTTGCAGACATAGGCTGTGGCTATGGTGGCCTGTTAGGTAACACTCTGGCCCTTTCTCTGGGGAAAGGAGAGGCAACACCTAGGTTCTGCCACCTCAGCAGATTTGTTGGGGGCCCTAGTTGGCCTTTCCCCTTCAGACCAGACACTGGTGCTGTGACATCAGTGTGGAGAATCTCCACCTTCCCTCTACTCTGGGTCTGTGGCCTTTGCCCTGGAGAAGGGAGGGGGCTGCCTCAAAGCCTCTTAGAACTGGAATGTCTAGTCTGGCCCACCCCTTGCCCCAGTCCCTACGTGAGCCATTTCACCTGCCAGGTGCCGGGTCAGTGAGCCGGTCAGCACAGCTTCAGAGGTTAGTCCCTGTGGCCACTGATCCTGAACTGTCTTTCTCAGGGATTCCACCCCCTCTCCTTCCTCACCAGAACTCATTCCTTCTCCACATGTATTTCTGAATTTCCTTTGTATTGTCTGTATTTTCCCAGCCACGCAAGCATGCTGGACCCACTTCTCTGTTTTTGGATCTTCCATAGAAATAACAGCATGACAGAGAGGAAGAGCATGGTACTTGGTGGCGGGAAGCCTTGGTTCAAGTTCCATGTCTGCTTCTTCTTAGCTCTGTGACTTTGGGCGTTTCGGATCCTCAGTTTTCTCATCTTTGCAATTTACCACAGACTGTTAGGAGGATTAGATGAGACAATGTGTGAAAATACTGAAAACTTTAAAGCCCTTGCAAATATACACGAAGTCCCAGGCCCTCCCACTTTCAGCCCTGGTGACAATTTTCAGGTCTCCCCTAGCCTGCTTCTCCAGCACAGAGCCATCCATACAGGTATCTGTCTCTCTGGCCACACTTGCCAGTCCTGATTTTGGTCATTGCAGGTTGAGGTTTCCTTTCCTGTGTTGATGCCTTTGCACTTCCTGCAAGTATGAGGTTGATGATTCCATTCCTGTTTCTGTGTCCAGTGGAACTGTCACCGCTGTTCCCAGACACCCTGATTCTGGGTCTGGAGATCCGAGTGAAGGTCTCAGACTATGTACAAGACCGGATTCGGGCCCTACGAGCAGCTCCTGGAGGTGGCTTCCAGAACATCGCCTGTCTCCGCAGCAATGCCATGAAACACCTTCCTAACTTCTTCCACAAGGGCCAGGTGGGGAGGGGCTCTGGTGGGTTAGGTTGGCAGGCAGGTGGGGCATGGAAGCCAGGCTCTTACAGCCCTGTTGGTTCACGTCTGTCTCACAGCTGACAAAGATGTTCTTCCTCTTCCCTGACCCACATTTCAAGCGGACCAAGCACAAGTGGCGAATCATCAGTCCCACACTGCTGGCAGAATATGCCTACGTGCTGAGAATTGGGGTGAGCCGGGAGTGGGAGGGAGAAGGGAGTGAGTGGCCTATTCAGGAACCTTCCACTGAGAATTCAGTGGGGGGTGTATTTAGGACTCACATCACCAATCCCATCATCCTGCTGCTCAGTTGCATGCAGCCCCCTATCTAGGGTGACTTTGCCTCTGCAGGGACTGGTATACACCATAACTGATGTGCTGGAGCTACATGACTGGATGTGCACCCATTTTGAAGGGCACCCCCTGTTTGAGCGTGTGCCTCTGGAGGAACTGGTAAGTAGGGGGCCTAAGGGAATTTAAAAGATTTCTGGAAAGACCCTTTCCAGAGTGGTTCTGTATTCCTGGAGTCCAGGAGGATGGGATGGGGCCAGGGACAGTCTGAAAGGTGGGCAAGGACTTATTGGACTCTTCCTTCTCCCAGAGTGAAGACCCCATTGTGGGACATCTTGGCACCTCAACCGAGGAGGGAAAGAAAGTTCTACGCAATGGAGGAAAAAATTTCCCAGCCATCTTCCGAAGAATACAGGATCCCACCCTGCAGGCAGTGACCCCCAGTCCCACCCCTCCTGGTCACTGACTTTGCCTTAGCTGGACCCCATCTTCCAAGGACTGGAAAGAAGATCGGGTCCCAGGACCTTCCCAGCTGAACCTGCTAGGGCTGGGAGGCAACGAACCTCTCAGAAATTGAGGAACTACCCAGGGCAGAACGACTGTCCCTGAGTCCTCTCACCTTCTTGCCCTTCTAGTGCCAGCAGAAAGCAAAAGAAGCTGACTGGGAAAGTCAAAAGACCTTGGACCAGAAGGGATCTTTGGAAGAGTGTGGGGTTTTACGCCCCTTAGCACTCCCTTCTCCTTCTGGGATCTCTCGTCAGCTGGAGTGAGGAATGCAGTTCTCCACTGTCCATCTAAACTGCCTGCTAGACTTGAGTCACCTGCCCACTTGTGTTTACTTTGCAGTTCTGGGGTAACATGTCTACGTGTGCACATGCCCATGCTGCTGTTTTGCAGGAAAGGCCAGAATGTGCGTCACTCCTGTCCTCCCCCTGGCTAAGATTTGACCTGGGGAATCTGTAGTGTCTTTATTGTAGTTGTCTCTGGAGAGTCCCTGGGGGGTGTGGTGGTGGAGACCCTCTCCTTTTTCATGTTGACCTTTGATTCCAGAACTCCAGAGCTGACTGGCTGGCACAGAGCCTGACCTGGGGGTGGGGGTCGGGGGTGAGGATCAGAGAGCTGAACTGGGGAGGATTCTGAGGCTAACAGTAGAAAGGGGCTGCTGGCTAGAAAGCCCCCAAAAGGGGACTGAGTCAGCTGGAGATTCAGAGCACTCACTTATCCCTTGCTTTGTCCAGGAGCCCAGATTAGTCTCTGAACTTTTCTAATCTGCAAGAAGTTCCTTTATCTTTCTCAAGTTCCAAATTCTCATGGCCAGGGCTTGTGGACCTAAAAGGAATGAAGATGAAGGCTCCCAGAGCCATTGTAACCCATTAATCCGCCTGCCGTCTGCCCAGTGTCAGGTGCAGAGGGGGAGACGTGGTAGTGCAGGAGAATTCTGCTCACACACAGAAAAGGTGCGGCCAGACGAGCCAGGAGTCAGAGGACAGCTATAGCTTCCTTCCCAGCCTCCCTCCCTGAGGAGCTGGCGGATGGGGAATTCCTGAGGATGGGCCCCAGGGGGCTGAGCTCCTGGGGAAGCGGTGCGAATGCCAGGGACCCACTCTGTATCTTGGTCACCTAAGCCTCACCAAATAGCCTTTCCCAGGAAGAGATCTTTAGGCTGCTGGACTGGGGCACCAGCCCAGAAGGGGAAACTGAGGCAAGCCTCCCCTCCCAAGGGGGTCGTTGCAACATGACACCCAAGGGAGCCGCATTGGCAGCTCTGGCTCCGCCTACTGTTCCTGGGTGCTAATCCCCAGCACAGACCACTAAGGAGAGGGGATTGGCTGAGCAGCTTGAAAAGGGGGCGTCGCCACTATGCCCAAGGGTTAAAATAGGGGCTCAGTCAAGCAGGCAAGATGCTCCGGAGAAGCGCGCTTTCGCGGTTTCCCGAGGGAGACCATGGCCCAGACCCTCAAGCTCGCTTCCAGAGTGTTCCACCGTATCCGCTGTGCTGCTGGTCTGGATGCCACACTGGGCTCCAAAGGCTCCAAATCAGCGCCGCGAGACTTGGCAGACATCCCGGGCCCCTCCACGCCCGGCTTCCTTGCCGAACTTTTCTGCAAGGGGGGGCTGTCACGGTTACACGAGCTGCAGGTAGAGGTGGACGCAGTTCCTGGGACTGAATGCTGGGGAAACTGGCTTTCACAACACTAGTGCAGAACGTAGGAGGGAGGGCCAGTGGGAATGGATGCCCATGAATTATGGAAAAGACAAGTTGGGACTGGGGGCAGTGGCTCACAGAGTTTGTCCAATGGAGGAGTGCGTTCAAAAGCGCCTTCTGGCTGTGTAGAAGTTTGGAGGCCAGGTAGGTCCAGCACAAGTGCACTGGAGGCGGAATACCTTTCCAGAGGGTTGGGTGCATTTGGCTTAAAGCTAGCGCGCTCCTATATATTTAAATGGGGGGGGGGGGGGTCCTGAGACGGACGGTCCACGTGAGGAACTTTTAGAGGTTTCTCCCCCTCAGCTCCGCCCAGGTGACCCAAGAGAGATCCTGGATGTTGGCTTTCTGCAAAGTGCCTCCGTTTTGCCCACCACACTCAAACTTCCTAGGGATGGGAGGTGGAGGAAAGAAAAGGAGGGGTTTGCAGCATCAGGGCCATACACTGATTGGGAGCAGAAGTTTCCCCCGTTAAGGGCGTTGGCACGCACCGAGCCGGGAGTCCCCGGCCCGGGTCTCCAGTGTCCGCTGCTTCCATTCTCCCAGGTGCAGGGCGCGGCGCGCTTCGGGCCAGTGTGGTTGGCCAGCTTCGGGACGGTGCGCACGGTGTACGTGGCGGCCCCTACGCTCGTGGAGCAGCTGCTACGACAGGAAGGACCCCTACCCGAGCGCTGCAGCTTCTCACCCTGGGCGGAGCACCGCCGCCGCCGCCAGCGGGCTTGCGGACTGCTCACCGCGTGAGTCCTCCGGCTCGAGCCCCGACGCCCTGCTGCGTTCCTCTCTGGTGGCCGGTCCGGAGACAATCTGGCTGAGGGTGTAGAGGGAGGTCGTTCGTTTCCCTCAAGCTTCTGGAAAATTGGGGTTCCCACCCGTCTCTTTTGCCCACTCCCAGATAGATCCTGGCTTTCGCCCTCATTCACCTCTTTATCTTTGAAAACCAGAATCCTGGGAACCCGCGGAAAGGGCTAAGGTACCAGAATCTAGATGTAATGTAAGATTCTGTGACTCAGGTTACCCAGGAACCCGGAGCAGGAAATGAGTAACGTGGAAGGGGATGGAAGGCGGGCTCAAGTAGGGGCAGGTTTCTGTACCCCAGGGGAGCATACACAATCCCTCTCCTGGCCACCCCAGCCTAACACGCTCCTTCTCCAGCGCAACCAGCCCCGTCGGGCCGTCTCTACACTCCACCATCTGCCCTGATGCGCCCCTTCTCCGCACCCCCGCAGGGAAGGCGAAGAATGGCAGAGACTCCGCAGCCTTCTGGCCCCGCTCCTCCTTCGGCCTCAAGCGGCCGCCCGCTATGCAGAGACCCTGCACAACGTGGTCTGTGACCTTGTGCGGCGACTGCGGCGCCAGCGGGGACTGGGCGCTGGGCCGCCTGCCCTGGTTCGGGACGTAGCTGGAGAGTTTTACAAGTTTGGACTAGAAGGTGAGTCCCAAGACAGGGCCAAGCGTAGGAGGCACCCAGCCGGGGTCTCCCGGTGCCCTGACAGCGCCCCCTCCCGGCTAGGCATTGCGGCAGTGCTGCTGGGTTCCCGCCTGGGCTGCCTGGAGGCCGAGGTGCCACCAGATACAGAGACGTTCATCCGCGCGGTGGGGTCCGTGTTTGTGTCCACGCTGTTGACCATGGCGATGCCCAATTGGCTACATCGCTTCGTGCCCGGACCCTGGGGCCGCCTCTGCCGAGACTGGGACCAAATGTTTGCATTTGGTAAGGCACAGAAATGAAGTGGGGTTGGGGAAACAGAAAACAGTTAAGGGGCAGTGGGACATCCCTGTACCTTGTCCCCACAGCCCAGCACCACGTGGAGCGGCGAGAGGCCGAGGTAGCCATGAAGAGGCAGGGAAAGCCTGAGGAAGACAGGGGATCTGGGGCACACCTGACCTACTTCCTGTTCCAGGAAGAGTTGCCTGCCGAGTCCATCCTGGGGAATGTGACGGAGCTGCTACTGGCTGGAGTGGACACGGTGAGGTTCTCCTTTCGTGTTGTGAGCCCGACTTCCACAGCTTAACCTCCCCAACCCCAATCTCAGGGGCCATTTTCCTGCTGCAGGGGATCCTCTGTGGTTCTCTAGGTCAGCTTGGCTTAGCACCTCCTGGATTCCACACTGCCTCATATGCTGCCCCCTACGCTGATCCCCACTCTCAGCACCTCTGATGCCCTCACCTGTCTCCTCAGGTGTCCAACACGCTCTCCTGGGCTTTGTATGAACTCTCTCGGCACCCGGAAGTCCAGACGGCACTTCACTCTGAGATTATAGCTGCCTTGGGCCCTGGCCCCAGTACCCACCCCTCAGCCACTGCTCTGTCCCAGCTGCCCCTGCTGAAGGCTGTGGTCAAGGAAGTGCTAAGGTGAGGAGACAGGAAAGGAGGAGCTAGAGAAAATGCTGGGGAAGGGCTGGGGAAGCAGACAGTGGATGGGAGCAGGGAGAGACAGCAGAGGAAAATGGTACTTTATGCCTGGCCAAGAATGAGTTTGGAAGATATCAGGGAAGCTACAGCCCCAGCCTCACCTTGTTGTCTCCCTCTTATGCTCTGCAATCCAGACTATACCCTGTGGTACCTGGAAATTCCCGTGTCCCAGACAAAGACATTTGTGTGGGTGACTATGTTATCCCCAAAAATGTGAGTAGAGCCTATGAGCCCCTTTTGCTAAGCCATCCCTCACTATCTTGGGACAGGTCCTATTCTCAAACACTCTCCATAAGCCCTTCAAACCCTCTTCTTGGCCTGAATGCCTCTCTAGGATACAATGGGGCAGTGGGAAAATCATTACAAAAATAGCCCCCCAAAACTTCCCCATCACAACCAAACTGCCAACCAGCCTGCCTTCATCCCAGTCCATATACCCTGTTTTCCATGTCTCTCCCTGCATTCCTGGGCTTAAATTTACAAGTGTGTGTTCCTTCCTCACCAGACGCTGGTCACTCTGTGTCACTATGCCACTTCAAGGGACCCTGCCCAGTTCCCAGAGCCAAATTCTTTCCGTCCAGCTCGCTGGCTGGAGAAGGGGACAGCCCCTCATCCATTTGCATCTCTCCCCTTTGGCTTTGGCAAGCGCAGCTGCATGGGGAGACGCCTGGCAGAGCTTGAGCTACAAATGGCTTTGGCCCAGGTGAGTGATCTAGATCTCCTACCTTCCCCACAAGGGAGAGCTCTGAAGGCATGAGCTCCTCTCCTGATAAGCCTAGGAAAACATACAAGACTTGGGAGACGTAATCCTCTGAAATATGTCAGTCCCATCACAGGCCTGGGAGGTGAGCGAGGGTATTTGGACTATCTTTCTCCCCACAGTAATCCCTTACCCTCACTAACCAAGACTTGCCTACTAGCCCCAGGTGCCATTCCAACATTGACTTTCCTATCACTGATAATGCCTGTTATCAATCAGGCCCAGCATTGTAGACCCCTCCATAATGATAGCCTTCTTCCTCCCTTTTTAGCCAGATTTTTTTAATTATTATTTTTTTATTTGTGGGGGGTAATCAGGTTTTTATTTATTGTTTAATAGACGTACTGTGGATTGAGCCCAGGTACTGTGGAGTGCATGCTAGGCGTGCACTCTGCCACTGAGCTATACCCTCCCCATTTCTTTCCAGATCTTGATCCACTTTGAGGTGCAGCCTGAGCCAGGTGCTGCCCCAGTCAAACCCATGACTCGGACTGTCCTGGTACCTGAGAGGAGCATCAACCTACAGTTTGTGGACAGATAGTCTTGTGGAAGGAGGCTGTCATTATCACTGTTTCTTTCATCATAGGGGTTTATTAGGCACAAGACCAAAAGATGTGTATTACCCCTGAGGCCTGTCTGTCTGACCCAACTGGTTAGAATGACCATAGCAAAGTGCTAAGAAGCAGCCTGACCAAGGCGTCAAGCACGCACTGGGCCTGAACCAGCAGGCCCAGAGAAAACCATGGTCCATTTGCCTGCTTAGCCCTTCTGGTCATATCATGGGTTTCCTCCAAGGGCCAGCTCATATTTTAACTAATAATGCTGGGTGGCCTGAGGAAGAATTCAGCCACTGCCCCTTCAGGAATTCGGTGTTCAACTGCTGCTGCTGGCTAAGCCCTGGTCATGGCATGAGCTAAGTAACTGCATTGGGTCTGCAGCTAGTTGATCCTCACTTCTGGCATGTGAGCTCTTTGAGAGGAAGGATGAAGACTTATTATGTCTTATATCCGCTGCCAGCACCTCTCCCTGACTGGGTGACACCATACAAGTTCTCAGATTGTATGTGGACCATGTGGCAGAAGGGATAAGCAGCTTACCAGGCTCTGTCTTCCCCACTCCCTTCCCATCTTGCCCCTAGGAAGGTGAGTCTACCCCTGCCTGCTTTATGATTTCTTAAAAACTCTCCTTGGCTCTCTGGTCACTATGAGGTTGGCTTGCCCCACTTGAGTCCTAAGCAGAGACATCTTTGGATCTGTCCCTGCCCAAGCCTTCTTTTTATGTATTGAAGTTTTTAAGTATTCAATTTTTACATTAAAAATAGTTTGAATGTTCCATCCTTGACTTCTGACTTACTTCTTTCCCTCTCTCACTCTCACTTCCTATAAGACCTGGAGGCAAGACCCTCATCCAAATCCTCCACCTTGGTTTCTCAGGTCCTGACAGTGACCTCCATAATGATGAGAGGTCTACACTCATGGAAGAATGGTTTGCATCACAAACCCAGACATGCTTCTGTCTGTAGTGGGAACAGCCAAGTCTGGCTCCCTGTAAGAGACTAAGGGGGTGGTGGTGAAAAGTAACTGCCAGGACTAGGCTGTAAAAACGGTGGGGGAGCTAGGTTTTGCAGAGCTGGCCAGAGGTGGCTGAGCCTTCAATAGGAGAGTGCTTTTAGAACCTGGACTGCCAGGACTGAAGGATGCCACTCTGCCCTCTCTGCAAAAGTTGTTTCAACTAATTTCCTTCAGAGGAAGGCAGGGATACAGGCAGAGAGGTGGAATCAGACAGACAGGATGAAAGCTAAGTGTGGGGGTGGCCAGAAGCCCTGGAGCACCAAGGCAGAAGAGAGGTGGGCAGCGGGAGCCTGTTTCCCTGAGTCAGCACTCTCTGGCCCCCCAGAGGCTGGGCTCAGTTCTCCCCGTGTGATGTATATAGATTAACTCATCTTCCATACCAATAAATCTCTCAGCACACTCCCCGCAGCTCCCTTGTAGCCTAGATTACCCTCCCCATGTCAGGACTTGCCCCCTTCTGTCTGCTTCCCTCCATTCCAATTAGTGGGTAGAGATGGGGATTTCACTTCACACTTCCTCCTCCTCCCGCCACCTCAGCCCCTGCCCTAGACATGGCTCCCTGACCACAGAAACTCCATTAGCCACTAGCCTTCTGGGGTATCTATTTATGCAGGGACCAAGGTTTGCATGCTTTTATTGCCCCTACTCTCAACTCCTTCTCTGCTAGATTCTCAGTCTCCACCCCACTCCCCTATCACTAAACTCACCTTGAACCTAAGTGACCTGATTTTTTTAGCAGTTCTGAGCTTTGAGAGAGAGTAAAGCCCAGCTTCCTCTCAGACCCTTTCCCCGGGAATCAGTGGTGAGAATTTTGCTTACCCGCATTCCTCACTGGGCAAGTAGGACTGCTCACTGGAGGAGGGCTGCAGTTCCTGTGACCCCCTTTCCTGGACAAGAATCCCTTAAAGGTGGAGAAGGGGAAGGAGAGAGGACCTTGGCTGTCACAACCTCCATACCAAGACCTCCAATGGCTCTGAAGGGGAGGGGGGCTGTACTGTCTCACTTGGCCTGGTTCTAGGACACAGAGTAGAAATGAAGATCATGTGTTTGTGTGCAAGTGTGCCTAGGACCTTGAGTATGTCTAAGCCTCTATGTGGGGCCATCATGGGGGACAGCCCAGACTTGGCACAGGAAACCCTGCCTGTGTCATATCTATCTAAATCTTATCTGCCAGGATAGGTATTACTAGTCACTTGGATTTGCTCTCTCCCTTCTGGTCCCCATCAGCTATTCTGTGAATTGCAAATCAGTGAAGTCTGGCCTTTCTGTCTCTCCATGTGGGGATGGGGAAGGTTATCTCTCTGGGGAACCAGTTTTCCATGGAAAAGTAGGGGGCTCAGCCTCATGCTCTCTCCACTTTGATCCCCTTTGAGGTTGAAACTGATGCACTTTAACACTTAGTGGTAACTCAAACCCAAGTACAGATTTGGTTCCTATATTCCCAGGCGAGTCTGGGTGCCAGCACCATGGACAGCGGCTGAGACCCTCTTTTGGCCAGGGGCAGAGGAAGACCATTTCCTGGGCAAGGATGTGTGACTGTTAATAGAGAAGCATTGTCCTCAAAATATCCCCAGGGAGGAGGAAGAGCAGACCCTTCCCTAAGAGAAGGAACAATAATAGGAAAGGCCTCTGGATCTGATTTTAGCAATGTTATGAAGTAATAATTTTAATTACTAATGAATAGTTCACGTAAAAGACGCCATCATTCATATAATACATAGCCCCAAGGCCTCAGGAGAAAGGCACCAGGTTTTAGGCTGACATTTTAACCAGTCCTTCTCAAACCTTTTCTCTATAAACAACAGCTCTAAATGCTGTTGCCTCCAAGGACAATATTTTCCAGTTAATATCCCTAGCTTGGTCACACCAGGATCAGACCTGTGACCCTGAACTGCCATAGGAGTAGCTTAAACTGGAGTTGGAGTCTCATAACCCTGGGAGATTCTGTCTGTCTCATTCTAAATAAGTCCAAATTCACTTCATATCACTACTCCAGAACACGTTACCTAGTAGGGATTAAGAGAATCCACAAGATCCCCAGAGCAAGAAAGGTAGCTCCAGCTTTCCCCAGCCCCAAAAGTTTAGGGGGCTGGAGGAGCTCTCATTCTTGCAAATAACCACTCTCCTTCACATTTGCAATGTCTATTTCCCTTCATATTTTCCATATCTATTATGACACTCAACACAAATTTCCAAGACTCTGTGCAACTCCAAATGAAAAACACATTTTGGAATTTGTTAACCAGCTATTTGAAATAAATGGACCATCAACTAGTATAGAAATCTTTTTTATGCCATCACTGGTTTTCTTTGCAATGGCATTCAACCTGTCCCTCATTTATCCTCAATCCAACCCTATGAGGTAGACAGGAAAACCACGGTGGAGAGATTTGTTTCTAAATCACACAACACGCAGGTGTCAGGTCCACCCCTCAGATATCTCTGAGCACTGCCACCTAGCAGCCAATGTGAATTATTCACCACCAAGTGTGAGTTACACCTCCAACTCAGAACCCACTGCTGCATTTGGGATTTGCAAACTCTGCAGAGAAACCTCCCCACACCTCCCAACCCTACAGCAAAGCCCCAGATGAGAAAGGAGTCTCCATGTGCATATAAATGATTCTTTATGCCCTCCCCCAATGCAATGGGGGGCGGAGCAGGGGGAAGTACCCCCGCCCTCATGCAGGGAACGGGAGGTCAATGTATATTAGTCTTATTGCCAGCTGCCCTGTGGCCATAGAGTGGGGGATGGGGGGTCTACAGCCCCTTTCTTCTGGCATTGGTCCCCCTTCACCAAGTCACCGTGGTGGAGCTGGGGGCCTGGAGGCCCTAGGAGCTGAGGTAAGGACGGTTCTCACGGGAAGAAAAGATGCTCTCCCCACAGCCCACTGGCTGCCCCAGGATGAGTGTGAGGAGCTGTCAGTGGGGGCTGGAATTTCATCCAGGTGTCTCTACCCAGTGGGCAGTAGAGGCCAATGTCTCCAGCTTGAGGCTGCCCACAGAGATCCTCAGCAGTGAGGGCTGTGAGCCCAAAACACCTTGTCCAGGTGGTACCTCCAGCAGCCATGACAGCGTATCCCTGGCCGATGCACTGACTCAAGATCCCTGCTCCTGGAGTTCACTTCAGACCGTAGTGACCCTCATGACAACCTCGCGGCCAGAATGGGAACTGGAACGGGCATCTGGTGGCCGCAGCTGTCCAAGGAGATGCAGGATTGTGTAACCACAGCGCTGAGGCAAGAGCGTCCGCATGCGCTGGGCAGCCGGGGGGCGGCTGGTGGCCCCAGAGGGGGGGCCCGTCCGTGAGGTCCTGGGGCCCGGCTTCCCTGCCGTCCCTCCCCCTGCATCTCCTCCTATGTCCTTGGTTTTGTCATAATTCAGGACCTTCCACTGCTGGTTCACTGCCTGCCAACGCTTGAAGATACGGTAGACAGAGGAGCCTTCGTGGACGATCAGGCCTGAGCAGAGGAATAAGAAATTCAGGGTCAACTGCTGCCCAGACCTAGGCCAGAGGTACTTTCAAGAAAGCATTTCTCCAGGGCGAGGGGAGAGGGTTGCAAAGGGCCTAAAGAAGCAGGGAAAGGAGGGGCACCAAGATAGCCCTAAAGGCTCTCAGTGGGAGAACGTGTGGCCATGAAACTGAAGGAATGGGTAGGGAAAGTTAGGTGTGTGAGTTGGAGGAAGATGCTGAGCAGGTAAGGGGGAGAGAGATACCCTCACCTATGCAGACGACATCCATGAAGCCGTACATGCCGTAGCAGATCTGAAAGAGCAGATCTTGCCGTTGCCACTTGGCTGAAGGGCTGAGTGAAGACCAGATGAGCCAGGAGATGCTGGCAACGAGGAACAGAGAGCCCAGGACTATGGCTGCAATCTGGACCTTCTCAATGACCGTCAGAGAGATGGCCTGCCACTGTGTGGGAGACAAGGTTCCAGAAAGTCACAGAAAGAGATGGAGGGCCAGGTTATGGGTGACCTTGAATAGGAGGATGCTCCAGGAGCCTTCCTGAAACCCTTCAGGCAGGATTGACAATCTGTCTTCACTGTGCCTTGATCAAACTTAGAATGCGGCACTTCTCACACTGTTTGAGATCACTTTCTGTCTTACTTTAGGAAGGCAGGATCAGGCAAGTGCTCTGAAGCCACCATCTAGCTTGGGATTCCAAATCCTTACTTTTTCACTTACTGACTAACTTTGGGCAAGTTTTTGAATCTCTTTGTGTATCAATGTCCTTATCTTTAAAATGGGGATAATAATGGTACATAACTGTTAAGATTGTTATGGAGATTACAAGAGCTAATACACACCAAGAGCCTGACACATAGAAAACTCTACATGTTTGTTATACACAGTAGCAGCGGCACTACCACTTTTGCTCTTTTGTTGTCCTAGTGCCTGGAACACAGGTGGCACCCAATGAATGTCTTTGTGAACAAATAAAGGAAGGGAGGATTTACAGACAGACAGGAGATTATGGTAATGGTAGGGAGAGTGACTTTGAAGCAAGAGTAAATACATGAAATAGGCTCCCTGGAGGGTCCCTGATTCTGATTGCTGAAGGGTCTTGCCCCAGTCTCAGAGTTCTCCCACTGCACCTCACCTGCAGGGGGTTCTTGGTGCTGATCGCCAGGACCTGGTACTTGAAGTAGCAGAGCTCACAGCTCCAGGAGCCCCTCTCGCTGATCCAGCGGATGAGGCAGGGCTGGTGTGTGCACCGCACTGAGCCGTCACAGCGGCAGGGGCTCAGGAGCTCCCCCTGGAAGAAGAGTGAGGAGAGTCCCTGTCAGCTGTCGCCACCCGAACCCACTCCTCTCGATTCTGGGGAGAGGGAAACTTCCTCTCTAGGTCAGCCTCCTACCTTAAAAACAAAAACAAAAACAAAACAAAACCTGGGGCCTTTCAACCAAGACAGGGCAAGAGTCTAAGGCTGTTACAGCCTAAAAGAAAAAATTCAGAGCTCAACGTAAACTTCCTTGACCAAATAGAAGAAAGATGTAAAGGGACAGGGGGTGGGGGGTTGCTGGGGAGTACTGGGTCTTCTCTGTTCCTAGAATTTGGGGGAGGCTCCTCTTTAAGACCTCCCAAACAGAAGGCTACCCCTTAGGATCTGGAGAGACAGATGGGGAGGGTCAGAGCTTCTGAGCCATGCCTTCCCAACCCACTCCGTCACTGTAAAGTATTTCACAGACGTGGTGCAGACTGGTTCCCAAAAGGTGGGAAAATCCTATGGTTGGGAGTGGAGGGTGTTCCCCTTTAATCAAAGAGTAATTTCTCACGACACAGAAACATCCCCCTGGCACTATCTCGGGACAACTTTGTCCATAACATTTAAACAAAGAATACTCTTTGGAATGAGAAAGAAAGTTGTGGAATGCGAAGTGAAGAAAAGTGCCCCACGGAGAGGAATACTGAGTAAGGCGAGAGCGGCGGCTGGGCCCCTCCCTTCAAGGTGGGAACAGAAGCATTCTCTTCTCTGCCCATCTCCTAGAGAATAGGCCCTCTCAGGTTACAGAGACCCTGGGGTGAGAGAAGCGGGGAGAAAGACTGTCCCGGTTAAGGGGTGAGAGGGATTTTGAGCCCTCCCAGGAGAAAGCCGCACCCCTTCCTGGGGACCCCGATCCCCCTCCAGCCCAAACCTACCCGCCGGGAGTCTCCAGACAAGCCCCCCAACCTCACCCTATTTCCACCCCGGGTCCTGGGTCCCGCCCAGCCTTCTCAGGCCCCGCCCCCTGTTCCTGGTCTCCCCGGGCGCCCCAGGTGCGCGCCCCCACCCCTCCCCGCCCCGCCGGGTGCCCAGGCCTGACCTGCTCCGGTCCCTGGAAGCAGATTCTGCACTGGGGAGTTCGGAGCCCGCTGTCCAGGGAGCTGCTGAGCGACAGGGC